AAACTAATATAATACAATGTACAACTAAGGCCCTAAGGCTGTGTTCCAAAATTCACTGTCAGTACTGAAAATCCATAGTGTACGTAACGTAAACTATAGATTTTCAGTGCTAACGTGAATATCGAAACGCTGCTTAAGACATTGATTTAGGCCTATTATCTTAATCGAGTACAGGATTGAAGGAACCAAATTAATACAAAAGAAAATGGATAATTATGCTATACGGCGAGACCCAATGTCTTTGTTGTTCGAGCAATCGCGTATTCTCGGTGCACTTACATCTTAACCTCGCACGACTTCTCGTGATTGCAGAACGGACAATTGAATTGTGTGTCCAACGGTTGAATGGCCTTCTTTTTGCTAGGCGGTTTCCGTTTGCTTTTACGTCGGCCCATCTCGCTCGCAATCAGTCAAGACTCCAAGTCTTTGAGCCAATTGAAGTATCCAAAAGTCGGCCTGACGATATCAGCGTCCACAATGGTCCACCGTGTCCACACATCCGCGCGCTTGTTTCACTTGTTTGCGCTTGTTGTGTTAGGTTAGGTTAATCTGAAACCGCGAATCTGCTGATCTACTGCGCGTGCGCGTAGATCCCTATATATACACGCAGTTTGTTCGTAGAACATTTTCAGATAACCTAACCTGTCACTGGGCGCGTTCAGCAGACCAAGCCGCTCAGTAGCAGTCGAACGTGATTGGCTCTTACTTTTAGAACCAACCAATCAACGCAGCGTGTTGATAAGACGAACTCAACAGTTGTGTCTGCTGAACGCGGCCACTGGCTGTCAGATTTTGCAGAGTCTGTAAAATTTTGTTAGCTACAAAAATTTTGCTAGCAAAATGCAGAAATGTAAAGAATCTGCTGATAAAATGCGATGGCAGTAAATGCAGAAATCACTGGTTAAACTGGCGTATACTTCACATTTCTATGTTCTTCTAATATATAATTTTTCTGATCTTATTTATTATAAATGTTGTATTTTTTTCGCCCCAAAAAATGTACTATTTTTATTCGAAATTATTTTGGATAATTTATATCATTTTTTAATCGAAATTATCTCGGATATATGTGTTATTCTAACATATTAATCAAATAACATAGCTGCTAAATGCAGTGAAATAATTGTTGTAGATTAATATATTGTATTAAAGCTAAATACTTATTTTTTCGTAAAAGCAGAAAAAAATATTGAGGAAAAAAAATAAGATTCGAACACTTGGTCGCGATATATCCAATGGGAGTCTGCCTTTTATCCCTAGGAAACTAGATCTCTCCTATTGGATATGTATAGTGTGTTCGGAATCTCATTGCAAAGAGGTTGTTTTGTTCGTGAGTGGTATTTAAATGATAATCTAGTTTTTATTCCTATTATTTGTTAACTGCATAGGTTTCTTTTTAACTTGCCCGCCAGATATTGGCACTTTAAAAGTCAGTTATTTACCGCCTTTACCGGAACGTCGAACATCTCAAAACCACAAAAGAACAGCAAAAGGGTTTTCCTATTTTCTTACAGTCGTGCAGTACCTTTTATCGTTATTATTATCTGTAAGTATCTTTTCTACATTTATCGTAAAGATATATCTTAATTGATAAAACTATGGATGAAAATATCGATATTGATAAATAGTAAATACGTTCGTGTAATTGATTCTTTATCAAGAAGATATATCTTGATTGATAATTATTATGGACAATATCTTTGGTTATTAACAAGTGCATCTCTATATGATTAATACTTTTAGATGTGGATGATATTTTTGGACGTGCCTACGAATTTTAATAAATAAACTGCTGACAATGGCAACGGGGAGTAATTGCGAAGCAATTTTGAATTGGCAT